AAGGGCCCGGTCGGGAAGACAGGGATTCCTTGAGGTCATTTAATAGAATTTAACAAAGATTGTAAGGCACACAGGCTGGGAAGGCAACACAGAGATGGATGGACAACAGCAGGAATCTTCCGTGAGCCGTAGGAGAGGAAGGAAGTGGTGTTGGCAGAGTCCAGGGCCAGCTGTTGGAAGCAGAAGTCATGGCAGGGGAGGCAGTGGGAGCTGGAATGTGGAAGAAAGAGCTGTCTGGAGAGACCTGGAGCTTCAGAGGAGATGCCGTTGCACCCACAAGGAGGACAACAAAGCCTGGTGTCTTCCCCCTATTGTTCAGTCTCTGAACAGAGTGCCAAGTTTAGGCAGAAGAGCCTGTGGAATGGTCCTGAGGGCAGGCTGGCAAATGACTGGCAGAAACAATAGAAAGGCACAGGGCAGATAATCTTTATACTCCATTCCATTGCTTGCATTTTAGAATTCATGGATTCTCTGAGAGATTCTTCATGTCTCCTGCAGCAAAGATGTTAGTTTAGGGTCATAACAGGTAGCTCTTCTTAGGAGTTGAAATAAACTTCTACCATTCTAGCATCTTAGGACGAGACCTACTCACATCTCCACCTCCCTCCCTCCCAAAGCCTGGAGTAGTTACATTTTACCTTACATGAGCTCTGTCAGCATTTCATGAAAGCCCTATTCCTGGTAGACTTTTGACAAAAGGGACAGTATTTTACTTATCTCTTTTCTCAGTCTGTATCACCACAGAGCCTCTGGGGCCATAATACAAACACAGGGAACCAACAATGTTACCCAATTGATCCAGAAGCTTTACTGTTTCTTAGTAACCTGTGATCTTAGGCAAGTTCAGCCCCAGTTTCCTAATTTGTAACATGGCTTTATTGGTCAGTAAAGCCAATTGGGCAAAAAGGTTGTGCAATAGTAACAACCCCCAGAATTTTGGTGGCTAAAAATCCACAAAGGTATATTTTTTACTACACATTTATGTAAAGTCACTTGGTATATGACCATCCTTACTCTGGTCCCTGGCTGATAGATCAGCTGCCATCTTGAATGTTGCCATTCCGCATATCTAGAGAGGGCGAACTTGGATGGGGTGGGAGGGATGGCAATTAACTGTTGGCCTGAATGCGTCATGCAACATATGTACTCACAACTTACTGGCTGGAACTAGTTAATTGATATGATACTGTGATATAATAAAAAAAATAACATATTTGGTCTTTACCTCTGGTTCCTGACACACAGTTCCTAAGACCCTTGGGATATCTGAAGTGATGAGTGTCTTTTGTACCTTAATGATATGACTAGTGGTTGGAGTCCCCTAGGTAGCTTCAGGATTGTGACTGGTTACTAGAAAGCCCAAGGCATAATTAGAGGATTGAGACTTTCGGCCCCATCCTCCCAGTCTCTGGGGAAGAGAGAGGGACTGAAAGTTGACTTAATCGCCAATGGCTAATGAGGTAACAATCATGCCTATATAATAAAACCATAAAACCTTAAGAGGACAAGGTTTGGGGAGCTTCCAGATTGCCAAATATATGGTGGTATCTGGAAGGTGGTACTCCCAGAGAGGGCATGGAAGCTCCATGGACTTACTTTGTTATGTACACCTCTTCCATCTGGCTGTTCACCAGTGTCTTTTGTCGTATCCTTTATAAATAACTGGTAAATGTCAGCAGTGGTTTTTGTGAGCTCTGTTAGCCATCCTATAAACTTTATTAAACCCGAGGAGGGGGTCATGGGAACTCCCAGTTGATAGCTGATTGGTCAGAAGCACAGGTAAAATAACCTGAGGCTTGTGCCTGGCATCTGAAGTGGGTATAGTCCTGTGGGACTGAGCCTCTAACCTGGGAGATCTGATGCTAACTCTAGGTAGTAGATAATGGCATCACTTAACTTCAGCTGAAGTAAGAAAGTGCCTAGAGGGAAGAAGACTGGGGATATTTCTTGATTTGCACTAATGACAGCTACAGAGAGAGAGAATAATTCTTGACATTTCCTGATTGTTTTAACCATGAAACATGAATATTTAATATAATGCCTAACTCAAGATAAATGCTCAATTAATAGTAGATGGAACTATTATCATTACTATTCAGCAGTTTATATTACATTTCCAGCATACTTTCTACCATCCATTTGCATAGCAGATTTCTCCTCACCCTTTTTTACAACTGAAAATGCAGAAATAAACATAAATTATTTTTCTGTAGATTTATCACAATTATGATTTTTTTTTTGAGACTGAGTCTCTCTCTGTCACCCAGGCTGGAGTGCAGTGGCACAATCATAGCTCACTGCAGCCTCAGCCTACAGGCTCAAATTCTCCTCCAGCCGCAGCCACCCAATTAGCTGGGACTATGGGCATGCACCACCACACCCAGCTAATGTTTTTACCTTGTGTAGAGGCAGGGTCTCACTATGTTGGCCAGGCTGGTCTTGAACTACTGGGCTCAAGCAATCTTCCTGCATCAGTCTCTCAAGATATTGGGATTACAGGTGTGAACCACTGCACCTGCCCACACCCGGCTACAAATTCTTAGTAAGTGGAGTTGTCTTGAAGTTTTAGAGCCAGTCAGGGTCCTACTCTTCCAAGTTTTGGATTGACAAAAATAGGTGATTATTCTGTAAAAGAATTCCTTTGTGGACTGATAGCTGGGTGTCATCAGTGGTTTTGGAACTGTGCTTACTGTCCTGGTTTTCAATTTAAGAGCAACAGACTTTAAGCTGGCTTTCATTTGAGTCAGTGTGGAAACAGTCAATATATGTTATATGTCTGTGAAGCTGGCCTCTGGATCAATTGCAATTAGTTCTCAGCAGATTGCATTAACATATCTAAAATTAATACGGCAAGTGTTCTGATGAAAAGGAATTGACCACAACCACATTGTGGCTGTTTTTAGTCTCCCTCAAATGCTCTTTTCAAACTATATTTTTTCTTCTTTGGTTAATGGCTTTAAATTGGTATGTCAACGTAGACATAATCTATTGATTGTTCCCATTTGCCTTTTAAGAGTGGTCCTAGATAATAGCACACAGCTAATGTTTAATGTTTTCTTTCACTAAGGAGCTTTTTCGCTAAATGCCTTAAACTTGTATTTTTCTTTGTATGTTATATAACACGCTATTAAGACTATAAAGCCTTTGAGTATGTTCATTTACAGAAGTTTGTGTTTTTCAAATTACTAATGTTTCATCAAGACTTAAAAAGTAAGATTAAGAAATAATGTATAGTTAAAAAATAATATATAGTAAATGATGTGAGCATTGCTTGTCTGGCAATTTATGTTTATCCCAGTATTATTTATTTCTAAAGAAGAAGTATAGGCCACTTCAATGTTAAAAACAAAACCAAACCATCATTACCAGCAGCTACAAGGACAGAACAGAGAGCTATCTTTAGGCTTTATCATGTTGAAATTTGAATTTTTTTACCACTGTGTATACATTGTATTATGTTTATTTCAGGTCTTAAGGACTAACTTGTACTTTTTTATTTTTAGAGGTGGCCAGTTTTGGGAATGAAAAGTTGTCTGTATCAGGAGACAAAAGGCAGGGTTGATTCATTTGGCCATCTAAGTGGCATTTTTTTGGGTGTCTTTCATATGTCAAGCACTGTCACCTTTTTCATAGAGATACAGAGAAGTTTAAGGCACACTTTCTACCCTTTAGTAGAACACAGTCTAGTTGTGGGGTTCTAGAGCTTTGAATCACCCTATTTCAAAAGAGCTCCATGAGTACATCATAGCTTGGGGATACCAGAAGAAAATGACATTGTAAGGACACAGTAGATGTCCTGAAAGGTAATGGCTCCATGTGATGAAGCCCTGTGGGCCTCACTTTTATGGTCTGTGTGACACTGCCTTGGACATCCACCAAAGCCATGGACAGAAGCCAGTAGGGATTGTGTCAGGTGATGTCCATGTACTACCAGTCTTGTGATCCAGTTGCGTGATTGATGTTTTGGTTTGTGCATTAATGATATTGTCATCCTACCTCTTGTGAGTAGTGTTTCCTTTGCCTAGGACTCATGGATGGAAAGGAGCTTACATTAAGTGTATTCATTTTTCCTTTTTTTTTTTTCCTTTTAAAAATGGGGCTTATGGATTTGGTAGGGAATACTGTTGATATTGGATAAAATGTAAAGAATTTATTTGTTCATGTTATTGTGTCCTTTGACTATGTCCTTTTAACACAGATAAAAACACGTAGTGCATGTTGGAAAACCACTTCTACTTGAAACTTAAGCAAGATTCCTTTAATACACAAGTTGCAGTTTAGGAACTATTTAATTAATGGTGACTCTTTCAGGTTATTGCACTCAACCTTGGCGCATGAAAGAGATAATCTCGTTAAACACACAATGGCCCTACCTAGACTCTGTTAAAAACTATGGTAAAGAAATGAACTAGTCTGTGGCCCAGTGACTTCAGAGTGTTTAAACAAATTTCCTGAAAAACCTTACAATGATTAATAGTCTATACACAGTTATTAAAATAATGCTATGCTCTTTATTTATTTGGGGTGAGAGGTGGGGAGCCATATCCATATAATAGAGTCCTTAACAGTTTTTAAGATAACTTATTGTGAAATACTTGTAGACTTACAGGAAGTTGCAAAAATAGTATAGCAGCCCCATGTACCCTTCATCCAACTTCCCCTAATACTGACACCTTGTGTAGTTGTGGTACAATATCAAAAGCAGGAAACTGATATTTATGTAATAATATTAACTAGATCACAGACCTCACTCAGCTTTCAGCATTTTTAAAAAACCTGCATTCATTTGTGTGTGTATAGTTGTCCTTAACAGTTTTTGTTAAAAAATAAATAAGCATGAATTTAAGTGGATTTTTTTTTTTTTTTTTTTGCTTTTGCTTCTCTCAATTCTGGGTTGCTGATTGCCAGTCGACATTACCTCTAAGCCTGGCCATATAGGTTGACTTTTATTTTTCTTGTTATTAATGAATGTTCTTACCTCTCTCCTTCAATTTCTGTAGGCAGCTCAATTAACCTCCAGAAGATGGCTGAACCTGCAGGAATACCAGAGCAAGAAACTGATGTCTGACAACGGAGTGAGAGTTCAAAGATTCTTTGTAGCAGACACTGCGAATGAAGCTCTTGAGGCTGCTAAGAGACTAAGTAAGCTTATTCATAATGGGTGAAATACACTTGCCCAAATCAGTGAATTCACAGGTAGTGGTTTCCCACTAGTTAATTTTTTTTTTGTTGTGGGTTAAACTGAGAGGGACAGATACAGGGGAGAGCTTAAAACTGCAAAAACAAAAAAGTCCAGAATGCCTTGTGTACATGTGTGTAAGTGTGCGGGAATCACGTGGTGACTGCAGGATAAGGGGAGGGGTCTGCTTTCAGAGCTTTGTTCCTGTGAGTCTTCAGTCCTGCTGACCTGGGAGGAGATGTGGAATCACAGAACAGCCTTCAATGTGATGGCCTGGGTGTAGGAGAATAGAGCCCTTCTTCCATGGCACACCTAGAGGTTTCCTCTAGGCCGCGCCCTGCCTGACCCATGCTGCATGAGATTCACAGGCACCTCTGTGTCCTCAGTTCCGCCAGGATCACTCACTGGAGGCACTTGGCCTAAGTGTCAAAAACCTTAGAACAGGCTCTGTGGGGTGGCTCATGCCTATAATCTCAGTACTTTGAGAGGCTGAGGAGGGAGGATCACTTGAGTCCAAGAGTTTGAGACCAGCCTGGGCAACATAGCAGAACCCATTTATACAAAAACTAAAAAAATTAGCCTAGTATGGTGGTATATGCCTGTAGTCCTAGCTACTTTGGAGGCCTAGGCAGGAGGATCACCTGAGCCCAGGAGTTTGAGATTGCAGTGGGTTATGATCATACTAATATACTCTAGCCTGGGTGACAGAGTGAGACCCTAGCTCTTTAAAAAAAAAAAAAAAAAATTTTAGAACAACAGACAACTTCCCTTTCTTTTCAGTATCCCTTAGGGAGGGTGTATCCTCAGAAATTCTTACAGTATGAGCATGAGGGTGTTTTCATCCCAGCTCTTTTTGAAATGAAGAATCGTGCAACAGTGGAGCATGGTTCAGTAATTCCCTCAATAATGGAGGGAACGGATGGAAGCCTTCAACAATATTTGATGACACAAAAGGAAATTGTGATCCATGTTAACTAACAAAGGAAATGTTAACTGCAATTTAAAGAAGCAAAAAATATCAATTTAGGAAAACTTTATTCTTTTACATGAGATAGCAGCACATGGAATGTCGCTCCATGGTAGTTTTTTAGAGATTCTAGTCACTATTTCACCCAGTTTTGTTAGCTGTGGATTAGTGGCTGGGAGAAACATGGCTGAAGGGCTTGAGAAGCCATTCATTGCAGGATGAATCAGTTGTTGACATCCTTCTTTAAGTCCCTTAGAACATGGGGAGAGCGCCGTCTGAGTGACTGGAGGAGACCAAAGGCAAGAGCATTACTTTAAAGTCAAGCTAACTTTGCTTCAGTGTTTTGCCCTCCCTTTTACCAGCTTTGTAATTTTGCAGAAATACCTTCTCCGTCCTTGCCTCAGTTTCTTTATCAGTAGGCCAAAGCTAATAGTACTTATTTCCCAATGCTATTGGGAGTCTTTAAGAGTGTATTAGTCTATTCTCATCCTTCTAATAAAGACATACCTTAGCCTGGGTAATTTATAAAGGAAAGAGGTTTAGTGGACTCACAGTTCCACATGGCTGGGGAGACCTCACAATCATAGTGGAAGACAAAGGAAGAGCAAAGGAATGTCTAACATGGTGGCAGACGAGAACTCATGCAGGGGAACTCCCATTTATAAAACCGTTAGATCTCGTGAGACTTACTCACTACCATTAGAACAGTATGGGGAAAACTGCCCCAGTGATTCAGTTATCTCCACCTGGCCCCACCCTTGACATGTGGGGATTATTACAATTCATGGTGAGATTAGGGTGTGTACAGCCAAACCATATCAAAGGGAGATTGTTGTGTGGTAGAACATCTAGCCAGTTTTCCTACTTACAGATCCAGATATTAGGGATCAGGTCCTGCTGTCTGCCTTTCAGTGAGCATCCCCCCTCTGTGTGGCATGCAGACTCTCTAGGTATCAGTCTGGATTGCCACTGTCTAGTAGGAGTATAATGTGAGCCATATAAATATTTTAAAGTTTTCTAACAGTCACATTAAAAAAATGAAAAATAAATGGGTAAAATTCATGTTCGTAATACATTCTGTTTACTCCAATATATCTAAAACAACATCATTTCAGCATGGAATTAATGGAGTTATCAACGGGATATTTTGTGTTCATTTCTTTGTCCCAATCTTCGGCAACCTGGTTGGAATTCTACACTTCCAGCACATCTCATTTCAGACCAGTCACATTTCAGGTGCTCAAGAGACTCATGTGGCTAGTGGCTACCATCTAGCACAGTGCAGATATGGACATCAGAAGGATTTGCATGTGCATCCTTCAGCCTTGGGAATGCAGTTGTTTCCCACTAAAAATAAAGAATTGTGAGTAACAACTCAGTTTTATCCAGGGATCAGTAGCAAAGATTGAGAGTGTAAGATAGAGGCACTCTCCATATTTCAATTTTCTGATTTTCTATGCTCTTTTAAGAGTAAGTGCATAGGTACTTCAGCTAGTAATTGTTGTTCTTTGAACTTTTTAAAGTTCTCCCAGATGCTAATACACCAGACCCTCTCTATGTTATGTCAGTTGAAATGTATATGTGTTCTTTTCTGGAACAAATATTTATTGAGGGTCAACCATGTACTAGGCACTGTGTATATAGCTGTGGAAGACAGGCAAACCCTTTTTCTTCATAGAATTTACGTTCTAGAAATAAAATTAATTTGTAATTTTCAGATTAAATGTAGAAATTGAAGTGACATATTTTAATAATGAAAATTAATTTCATTTTTAAAAACTATCAAGATTGGTTTTTACCATGAAAAAATCCCAGTAAAATTAGATCTAAACCTGGATGACAGCTCCTCAGTGAACTGTGATAATAGACTCAGTAAAGGTTAGTACTGTATTCCAGCCTTTTCGTAAGAAAGGATCATTTTTGTTTTATACTCTTGTGGTTTGGGGATTGGGAAGTGAGAGCAAAGAAATGTAAAGTTCAAGTTGGTCTTTGATCTTATTTCCCTGTTATTTTCTTTGAAGCACTAGCATTACAGGTATAACTAAGTTTTTTAAGATAATTCTGGAAGCCAGTTGATTACTCCCCTCACCTCTCTTAGGCATAACAGCTAATCTCTTTGAGATATTCCTGGAGATATATACTTAGTGAACTAATTGACTTCTTAGTTATGGGTTTGTTTTATGAACATTTAGCCATTGTATTGTGGTTGGGGATTGTATACTATGCTTTTTATTTTTATTTGTATTTATTTTTGACTTCTTTTAGAGACAGGGTCTCACTCTGTCACCCAGGCTGGAGTGCGGTGGTATAATCATAGTTCACCACAATCTCCAACTCCTGGGCTTGACTGATCCTCCCACGTCAGCCTCCACAGTAGCTAGGACTACAGGCGCACACCACTATACCTGGCTAATTTTTATATCTTTATTTTTTGTAGAGATGGGGTCTCTCTGTGTTGCCCAGTTTGGCCTCAAGTGATCCTCCTGCCTCAGCCTCTCGAAGTGCTGGGATTACAGCCGAGAGCCATTGCACCTGGTTGTATCTTGCTTTCAATAGAATTTCTGCTCTGGAGGAATGAACAGTGTTGCATTGACATGCTGGAGCTGGGACAAGGGAGGGAAAAAAAAGAGACAATAAAACAATTTTAAGTAAAAGAAAATTAGTTCTTCAGGTATGCTTTCAAGAAATACAAACTGGATAAAGGGTTGAGAATGATAAAAGGATAGACAAAATCAAGCTGGATAAAGGAATGGAGAATGATGCATGGTTGTGTGTGTGTGCATATAGGAGCATGTGAGTGTGTGTGCATGCAGGTTTCACCTGTGCATATCTGTGATGCTCCTTAAGGTGATATGGCCAACAGAGGGCCTGTTCCTATCTAGGGCTAAACAGCAATTTGGAAAATTCAAGCTCCTTATTTGGTGAATGAATGAGTAATCCTTCCCGTACTCAGTGAGTAGTTTTGGTAGAAGGAAGGACTCCTCTGATTTCTGTTGTTGAATCGTTTTGGTCTAAGGGGAAATTTATAGCATTAGAAGAGGATATGGAACCAATTCTAGTTGGTTAAAAGTGAAAAGAGTTGATCATAAATATAAAAATTGTGTGCACATCACTGAGATTAGCTGGAGAGAGCAAAGCAAGAAGAATCTGGCAAAAATTCAGAGTATTTACATTCTTGTCACCACAAGATTGACAGAACCAAGAGCACAATTGAAATTTTAGCAAATAGATTTGAGGTTAAGATTAAAACTGGATTTTGCACACATCTTCCTGATTGTACTGAAAAAATGGGACCTTCACCCTATAATTATGATACTATCATGGGAGAAAATTGCCTAGAATGATAATGTGTTTAACATTCAGAAAGTGCTATATAAGATTTTATTGCTATCATCATCATCATCATCATCATCATCATTGTCGTCAATGGCAGCAAATTCCAGGAGGTTCATTACTGTTGTGATTCTAACTCACAGAGAGATCAGAGACATCATAATAACTATCCTGCTAATCATGTGTTAGGAGAGTTCATATTTTAATTAGAAAGATTTGTAAATAATTGAAAGGTATTTGCTTACCTTTCTACTTTATTCATATTTTGATGTGTTTTGAAATGACATTTTATAAAATATTTTGAAAAAAAATGTGATGTTAATCATATCTGTGATTTCCAGGGTGACCTCTGTGCGAATTATCTCTTTCTTTGTGCCTGAACCTGCATTCCTACTTGTCTGTTGACCGCTTGTTCATGGGTGTCTTTGGCACACCTGACCCAAATGGAACTTGTCATCTCTTGGTTACTCCAAACCTTCTCTTCCTCTTCTCGCCACCGTGCTTACCCAGCTGAAATACCTCTGCATCCTTAATATCTCTCATGTATATTATATCCAGTTGGTTGCCAAATTCAGTCATTGCTTATGTCATTTTACAAGCAAGGAAACAGGCAAGATAAAGTTAAAAAAAATGCCGAGATTGTAGAGCTAATTGACAAAGATG